AATAGCCGTTTGTCTTGATTATGAGCTTTTGGTGATTATTATGTTTATTAAGATTTGTTTGGATTAGCGTTGAGTCGAAGTGTAGAAAATCCTTTTCGTCCAAACTTTTAATGCCTTTTAGTTTATGGGCTGTAATCACATCATAATTATCATCAATTTTACAGTTAATCAACTGAATACTGATAAGCAATAGTAGTAAAACAGTTTTAAACATGTTTAATTATAAATAATGGAAATTTCTTATTAGGAGTTAATTGTTCAAATGTATGATTGATTTAGTATTTATAGTGTTTTGTTTGTGATTCAAGGATTTGTGTTTTGGTGTAAATAATTAAAATATTAACAAAACTGCTAAGTAAGTGATTGGCATTTATAATTGCTTGATAAATTACATTTGTGTATTAAAATATTATAGTCTACTAAAGGATACGTGAATTCATAGTGGGACTAAATCAAATATTAATATTAAAAATATTGATTCAGTAGTGATATGCTTAAAGTTTTAATATAAAATTGCGAAATTAATTTATTATATATTTTGACAGGTTAGAAATTAATTTGTATAAATATAGTGGTAATATTTATAAAAATATTAGTTTTTAAAATCTAATTAATTTTAACAAATTAATAATAACATTAATTTGAGTATAAACCAGAAGCAACCATTTTAGTTTGATAATTATTTGTGTTTATTGATGTTTTATCTTGATAATTTTGAAAAATGAAATAGAAAATTTTAATCTATAATTTTGTACTTAAACGGTATATTAAATAAAATTAACTTCAAAATATTAGTACAGAATTTTAAACCCCAAATAATTTTAATTAAAAAATTTATAAGAATGTTATTGTTTGTGCCAAAAGGTGCTTGCTTATTGTTTCGTATTGCCGCCGCCCCTATAGGCGTTGTACACCTTTTTGGCGCCGTTGTAGGCATTCTTGGCCTGCACGACCGCCTGTCCCTGAGGGGTCATCTGAGCCGCCGTTTTGGCCACACCCCAGGCCGCCTGACCCACCCGTTGCATAGTACCCGACCCTATCAACACACAAAAACACATACATTTAAACAGTAATAATAATTTTGTTTTAATTTAGAGAAATTTGTCAAATACCCTGCTGCCCACTACCACCACCACCAGAGCCTCCATTTCCCCCTTGACCTCCTCGGCCACCACCACCTCCAGAGTATTGGCAGTAAATCGTCTCAATTGTGATCAAAACCACGAAAATAATAACTAAACGATTCATTGCGGTGTTTGTAATGAGTATAGTTTGACTTTGCGTTAGTTTCGGCAAAATATGACTTTTATTTTTACAAAAAAATATTTATTTTGATTTATGTTATCATAAATTTGTCAATTTATATCAAAATATGTTTTGTTTATTTTGCGAACTTATGGATTGAGACATCAATACATCAATTGATTTGTTAATTATAGTTCAAAAGTGACAGCTATTATTAGTGATACAAATCAATCAACTTTTAACATGCTTATTACAGTAATTTGAGTATTTTAGTACTGTACATAACACATTATATAAGAATTTACGTTCTATGAAATACTTTATTTTGTGAAATTTATCATTTCATAAGTGTACTAGGTGCAAATATAATTATATTTATTAATATTATTCTTATTAGTTCAATATTTAATATGTAATTTATAATGTTTATTCAGTGATTGCACTTAATTCAAATTATACAACTAAAACATAATTATAAAATATGAATAAATATTGTAATAAACACAATAAATTACTAACACAGTATTGAATTTAATGTTGTTTTGTAGATTTTGTTTTAAAAACTACATTAAGAAAATAATGAAAAATCAATTACAATAATTAAAAACTTTTAGTAAGGTTACAAAGTTTAAAAGGTGTACATTTGAAATTTCACAATAAAAAACAAATGTTTTATCAAAATAGTAATTAGTACAGTAATTTTTAATTATATTAAGTTTATTCTTATATTTACCACTAAAAGTTAGCTATTTTATTATTACTAATATAATCATTATTCTGAACATAAATAATTACAAGTTTTTGGGTTAATTTCAATAAATTCCTGTTTTTTAGTTTAACTTTTCAATATTTATTTATAGTATCCGTGACTTAAAATGACTTAAAAATAAAATAAATTTATTTGCCTAACGTTTTTGGCCAACACTGTGACCATCATCAAGGCTAAGATGTTGTTTTCTACCAAATTCTGGTTTTTATTTTAGTTATCATTTTATTTGAAATGTTTTTATTCTCAAAAACAAACACAACTATTGACACAAAGATACCGATATATAATATGGGAAACACACCCCTAAAAGTTTCATCTAGCTTAATTGTTTTATGAATCTGGTCATCATTGTCAGAACTTACAGTATTATCAGTCATATTAATTCCCGATACTTCCTGTTTTCCAATGAGTCCAGAGATAATCCACAGAATATTCTGTTCCCTAATATCTAAACCCATTTCAACGATAATCATGAGTTTTAAATGCAAAAAATCACTCCATTTGTGTGTTTTGCGGATATAATACACATTGAAATTGGAGCCATACTTCTCCGGAGCCACTGACACCCTATTGTCTGGTGTTAACGCCCTGATCGCATCGCACCGGGCGGTGTTGCCCACGTACACAGCCCTATGAGCGCGTATCATATCAGCAATGTATTTATCTCGACGGATATAATGACGACCAAATATATTTCTGCTTATAAGATGTCTGTCCCGATCAGCCCTTTCCTTGATGTTTAGCCACAGTCCTTGTCTAACCAGGAGTTTTGCGTCTCGTTCGTCCCATTGTGTGAATATTTTAATATATTTCTGCTTGCTAAGTGCCTCGAATGTGGGCACCTGGAGCTCGGGTTTTGGCTGAATGTATGTGTTTAACAGTATTCCCGAAAAGCATTTATTTATAACATTACTCGACATAAGCCATACGAATAGCAATGAATACAAAAGGATTTCCTTATGATTGCGGAGTCTCTCTAATCCGAGTCGTGATAATTGGCTCAACCGTTCAGACCCTTGACTGAGGAGTGAACTAAATGTGTCTAATATTACCTTCGTTTCCATCAACCGAAACGGACTTAAGGAAAGCCATAATATACATAAGGATATGACACTCAACCCCAACAACACCCATATCTATATGATTTTTGGTTAATTTTACAAATATAATTATCGTTTCTAAGAGTTAAATGTAATACATATTATACTGTATATAATTAATTATGAATATTACCGGCAAATCAAATAAGAAAATAAAGTTAAAATAAGTGGTGTCTTCCCGTTGGGCACTGACTGTCAGTATTTGAATTAAAAAGTATTGATTTCGCACTACAATATTGCCATTTTCAATGACCAACTTGGTGATTTTACAACGTGGTAGCAACACCATATCGCTTGTCTATTAATTAAATTAGATGTCTTGATTAATTCAAATATTAACTTTATATAACGAACTCACGGCAATAGTCTTGTTTTCGGAATAGTCGGGGTGATTTACGATATACCCCGTAAGGACTACTTTGGTGTGTAGGTTGCATATTATGTATTCAATGAAATCCTTTACAAAACCCAACAGAGCCTGTGATTTAATTAAGTTTTAAATGTTAAATAAGTGTTGAATAACAATGGATAATAATTTTATTGAATAATAGATTACTTGTCTTCTGTACGAGATCGTATCATGGTAAAATATATAAATGTGATCAATAAATGTTAGATTTTTAGCGCATTTCATATAAATGTGATTTAGATGTACAAATGGTTGAAATTGAGGTATAAATTCAATTATCGAGCTCTTATCAAATCTATTCATTATTAATTATCTCTGTATATTTGCATGATTGCATTAATTTCATTAATTTTAAAAATAATATTTCAAAAATCGTAATATTTATTTCCCCATAGACAATTGAATTGATATGAAAACTTAAAATTATATTTATTTATGTATTGTAGGTAAGAATATGAAACATTTATTATAGAATAATAATAATAATTCTTAGAATTAGTAAAAATATTCTCATTTATTTTCAACACAAGTTTTCACATAATATAATTAAAACTTAATTATTATAATGAGACACATTTGTCAATTTTTTTATGTCATCAAAATATATTATTATATTAAAATTATAATAATATATTTTGATGACATAAAAAAATTGACAAATATGTCTCATTATAATAATTAAGTTTTAATTATATTTTTTTGCAAAATAACTAAGAAGTAATTGTTAACTAATTATTTTTTCTTGAAGGTCTAATACTAATGACTTTAGACCTTGGCACTGTGTAGACTTTATAATTTAGGTCTCTACAATAATTTAGCATATTTTAATTAAAGATTTTTATTTGCTTAATAACACAAAATATTTATTGTTAATAAATAAATTTTTAATCTGTATAAGTTATAATTTAAGTTACATATAATTTATAATTGAGTTTATATTTACATAAGTTAATAAACATAAATACATAAAATTCATTATAACTTTTATTTAACACTAAAATTTTGACATTTTATTATTATTAAAATAATTATTATACTGAGCATAAATAATTACAGGTTTTTGGGTTAATTGCAATTCAATAAATTCTTGTTTTATTTTAGATATCTTTTTATTAGAAATGTTTTTATACTCAAAAACAAACACAACTATCGACACGAATATACCGATAAATAGTATGGGAAACACACCCCTAAACGTCTCGCCTACTTTCATAGTCTTATGATCCTGATTATCGTCGTCATTATCATTAGCAGTATTTATTATATTATTATACTCAGTTATATGAGAGCAATTTAGATTCGGGTCGGATGCTTGCTGTTTACCAAGGTACTCAGAAATTATCCACAGAATATTCTGTTCCCTAATATCTAAACCCATTTCAACGGTAATCATGAGTTTTAAGTGCAAAAAATCACTCAATTTGTGTGTTTTGCGGATATAATACACATTGAAATTGTAGCCATACTTCTCAGGAGCCACTGACACCCGATTGCCCAGTGCTAACGCCCTGATCTCATCACACCGGCCGGTGTTGCCCACGTAGACAGCCCTACGAGTGCGGATCATACTAGCAATGTATCTATCCCCGCACATGTAACCATTAAATCTAGTCCGGTTATTCAAATGTCTGTCCCGATCAGCCCTTTCCTTGATGTTTAGCCACAGTTCCTGTTTATCCATGAGATCTAAGTCTCGATCGTCCAATTGGTTTAATATTTTAACATATTTCTGCTTGCTAAGTTCCTCGAATGTGGGCACCTGGAGCTCGGGTTTTGGCTGAATGTATGTGTTTAACAGGAACTCCGAAAAGCATTTGTTGATCACTAGACTCGAGAAAAGCCATACGACTAGTAATGAAAATAAGAGGATTTCCTTATGATTGCGGAGTTTCTCTAATCCGAGTCGAGATAATTGGGTCATCCGTTTAGACCCTTGACTGAGGACTGTACTCAACATATCTGTCAGTGCCGTCACTTTAGCCAAGGGAACGGGACTTAATAGTAGCCATACTATGCATAATGTTATGAGACTAAGCCCCAACAGTATCCATGTCTATCATAAAAACAATTAATTAATAACAATAATCTTTATAAGATTATAATTATGAATGAATATAAAGTACCGGTAAATCAAATAAGAAAATAAAGTTAAAATAAGTGGTGTCTTCCCGTTGGGCACTGACTGTCAGTATTTGAAGTAAAAAGTATTGATTCCGCACTACAATATTGCCATTTTCAATGATCAACTTGGTGGTTTTACAACGTGGTATCAAGATCATATCGCTTGTCTATTAGTAGTAAAACATGTAATGTTATTTTGTGAAGTTATTATGTTTAATAAGATTTTAAAGTGTGTTTTTATGTAGATTTTGTCATTTAGATATATACAAAAAACATACATAAATGACAAAATATAGACATAAGATAAATATATTATACATGTTTTTAATATACTTAAATTATTATGGAAATTATTGATTTTCAATCGTGAACTAACCTGCACAATCTTACTTTCGTTATAACCCGGTCTATACATTATACGTGTGGTAAGGGTTACTTTGATATGGAGTTGACATATCATATATTCAATGAAATCCCGTGCATACCCGTGCAGAATCTGTAAGTTAATTATTTGTGAATAAAATGTTGATATAAAAGAAATTAATAGATGAACATACATTTGATCTAACATTTCTGATGGCACTGTAATAAAATACATATATCTGGTCGACAAATGTGATATTTTTAGCGCATTTTAAATAAATATCTTTTAGTAAGTTTAAAGGTCGCAA